TGGTGCTGGGGAATCGAACCCAGGGCCTCATGCATTGCAAGGCAAGCACTCTACCACTGAGCCACCTTCTCAGCCCAACAGGCACAAATTATTACAAGCTTCTGGGAGGATGTGCTTAGAAGTTTTGGATAGAACAAATCCAGCAAGTGGCAAGACACAAAGCTAGATTACAGGGAAATTGTTCTTAAAATTTGTAATGAGAGGGCCAGGTGCTGGTGGTTCACACCTGACATCCTAAGCACTCAGGAGGCTGAGATCTGAGGATCCTGGCTCAAAACCAGCCCAGGTAGGAAAGTCCATGAAACTCCTATCTCCACTGAATCACAAAAAAAAGCTAGAGGTATGGCTCAAGAGGTAGAGCACCAGCCTTGAGTGAGAAAAGCTAAGGGAGAGTATCCCAGGCCCTGAGTTCAAGTCCCAGCACACACACACACACACACACACACACACACACACACACACTGAACATTACTGTACTTTGTAGGCACTAACTGCCAAGGTGGCGTGGGGGCGGGGGGGGGTGGCAGGGGGAAATGAGCTCAGAGCACTGGTTTGGGAGGAGTTGTTTTGGGGGGAGGAGAGATGGAACAGATCTGGCTCCCATCTCTGTCACCTAATTGAAGATCACTCCCCCCTTCCCCCCGCATTTCCCTACTGTCCAATCCAACTTCTTCTTGCTGTAACCTCCCCACAGTTCTCCAACCTCAGCATTCCCTAAGCCTGTGGAGGGAGGGGGGCAGCTGGGAGGAGGGTGGGTGTCATTTGAACTCTGCTCCTCTGTGTGGACATAATCACCCTTTACCCTAGCTCAGCCTTCAAGTTCTGGAGGCCAAGGGGAAAGGGTGAAGCAAGAGGCTGAAAAGTCGGAGGGGGGGGTATTGGGGGGGGGCAGGACTGCAAGCAAACCACCACCAGGGACTTTTACTAAAGGGCCGGAAGCCTGGCAGCCTCTGAGTAAGCTGAGGAAGATGAGAGGGGATTGAATATACTAGTTTTCATTGAGGCAGCTGGAGAGGAGCTATTTCTTCTCCTGCACCTGTCTGGGCTACAGTCAGTCTCTTAACTACTTGGCTGACTCATGATGCAGAAGCTTCCTTCTTCTTCCTGGGAGACAACTCTCTGGAGAAGAGTGTGGGGCCTAGAGCAAAGTTCCAGCCAGACCTTCCTTCTAGAATCCAGTTAAGGCAGAGACAGCCAGGCCAGGAAGCTTCCAGAGCCAGAGTGAGATGAACTCCTGGGAGATGGCATGCCAAGGGGAAGGGAATGAAGCAGAGAAGGCTTTTCCGGGGAGGAGGGCATTCAGGGGCACCACACCGAGGTGGGTGTGTTCAAGTCTGCCGGGGAATGAAGGATCCACACCGCAGGGTTGGTCTAGGAGCTTCCAGGATGAAGGCAGAGAAAGAGGAGGAGCCCCAGGCCCGCCATGTTGAGCCACCAATGTCTCCTTCCTTTAATCCAAATTCCCCACAAATCAGTATTCATGAACTTGGGGCAGAAGGAGAAAATTCTCACTATGGTTCATTCATTCTTACGTGTGTGTACTGGTGCTGGGGCTTGAGTTCAGGTCTTGAGCTCTGCCTCAGAGCTTTGTCTTCTTAAGGCTAACGTTCTACCACTTGAGCCACAGCTCCACTTCTGGCTTTTTCGGTAGTTATTTGGAGATAAAAATCTCGCAGGTTTTCCTGCCTCCCGGGCTGGCTTCCAACTGTGATGCTCTGATCTGAGTTTCTTGAGTAGCTAGGATGACAGGCGTGAGCTACCGGCACTAAACCAACCTTCCTTCCTTTCTTCCTCCCTTCCTCTCTTTCTTCCCTGGGGCTTGAAGTCAAGGCCTGGGTGCTCAAGGCCAGCATATTACCACTTGAGCCACAGCTCCACCTCCAGCTTTTTTGGTGCTTACATGGTGATGAGTCTTACAGATTTTCTTGCCCAGTTGACTTTGAACGGTGATCCTCAGATCTCAGCCTCTTGAGTAGCTTGGATTATAGATATAGCTACTGGTGCCTGGCACGGGCTTGTCTCTCTCTCTCTCTGTCTCTCCTTTTTTCTTTTTGCTTATGTGGTGCTGAGGAATCGAACCCAGGGCCTCAGGCATGTAAGGTAAGCACTCTACCACTGAGCCACCTTCCCAGCCCTCTCTCTCCTTTCTTTTCACCCTTCCCTCCTGCACTGAGTCTTGGAGTCAGGACCTCACCCTCACACTTGGCTTTTTCCACTCTGGGCTGGCCTACCACTTGAGCCACTCCCCCCTCCCCACCAGCCACTACCTGAATTCTCAGTTTACCCAGAAGCCCCTGGGAGAGGAGGCAGGATTCAAGAGACCTTCACTTGAGTAAGAAGTGGGGGGGGGCAGGCTGAGTCTCCCTCTGTGTGTGTGGGGGGGGGACACAGGTCACCCTGTCATTCATTCATGCCCCTCTTTCCTTGTCCGGAATTATAAGCTGTGACTCCATTTCCCTTCTCTGGGCCAGTCTACTCACAATCCTTCCTGCTTTCTCTAAAACAGACCAGGGCTCAAGTACCAGGCGACACGGACGGGGCATAGGTGACAGCAGTACCTCAGATCAACCCAGCGCCCCAGTACCCCAGCGCCCCAGCACCCCAGAACCCCTGGAATAAATACAATTGCTTTGCCTGAGGCTCAGATCTAGGGATGGAGGAGAAAGAAATTAACCGGGATTCCAGGCTGGGACCCTGCAGGTGTGTGTGTGTCTGTCTGTCCATCAGTCTGTCTCCTCCGGCCTGGCCCCCCTGCCCGGCCCGTGGGGGGGGGTCCCCGCTCACCGATGATGATGGTGCAGGCGCTCAGCAGCCCGATCTCCTTCTTGAGCGCCACCCGCTCCGAGCTGCCCGGACGGGGCCCCGGGCCCGGGGTCCCGCGCCCGCTCATGGGGTCAGTCATGTCGCGGTCCCACCGCGTCCCGGCTCCCCGAGCTGCTGGACCCGTCCCACGGGCTGCCGGTCTGCGGGGCCCTCGGCTCGTCCCGAGCCCTGGCAGCCCGGCCTGGGGAGGGGGGGGACCCAGGGCCCCACCGACGGCGCGCATGCGCGCTGGCACCCAGCCCCCGGCCCCCAGGACTCCCCAGGTGGCCAGGGGCCAGGGAGGGGCGGAAGGAGGGCGGGCCGGCCGCCCCCTCCTCCTGCCCCCCCTTCTCTGCCCTTAAAGGGAACTTCCCCCACCTCCCCGTGGCTGGGGAAAGGGAAGGAAGACTAGAGGGCAGATCTAGGAAGAACTTCCCAATTGCCAGAAGGAAGGGAGTTGGCGTTTACCCAGGCCCCCAGCCCGTCTGATATGGACAGGGCCCTACACCCCACTCCCTCCCTGTCCTCAAGCAGGAGGAGCTGTGTGGGGTGCCCCCTAGACTCCAGCTCTTCCACTCCTTACATTTTGAGGACCCCACCCCCCACCCCTCAGATGAGCTGGGGAAAGGGAACTTGGAGACTGGGTCTGTTCTACAGGAGGGAATAAAGCACCTCTTGCGGCTGGAGGCCTGGCTCAGTTGGTGAAGCACTAGCCCAGGAGCAAAAGCATGAGGTCATGCCTGCAATCCCAGCTACTCGAGGCTGAGATCTGAGAATCCCAGTTTGAAGTCAACCCTCAAGCCGAAAAGCCCCGTGAAACTCTTTATCTCCAGATAACCAGCAAAAAGCCAGAAATGGAGCTGTGCCTCAAGTGGTAGAGCACCAGCCTTGAGCAAAAAAAAAAAAAAACAGAGGGCTGTGAGTTCAAGCCCCAGTACTGGCATGGAACAACAACAAAAAAGGGCCTAGGAAACAGGTCAAGATGAAGACCTAGGAGTTTTTAATCATCCAGAGAGGCCCCAGGGCCTCATGGGAATGAATTTAAGTAGGGCCCAGCCCCCGCCCCATCCCCCATCCCCAATCCCACCCAGCTCTGATTTAAAGCTACCCTTAGGTCCAACCGCAGACTCCTGGCCACACGTCAGAGTTGGAGCTTGGGCTCAGTCCCTGCTGTACTGCAGGTGGCCAAGGACACTTGAAGACGCCTGGGCTGGGCACCCAGTTCACTCCTGTCATCCCAGCTACTCAGAAGGCTAAGCCTGAAGATCATGGTTCAAAGCCAGCCCAGGTAGGAACGTCTGTGAGACTCTGATTTCCAGTGAACCACCAGAAAACTGGACATGGCACTGGGGCTCAATGTGGTAGAATGCTAGCCTTGAGTAAAAGAGCTCAGGGGCAATGCCCAGGCCCTGAGTTCAAATACCAGGACTGCACCAAAAAAAAAAAAATTACAGTCCTGTCCCTTCGTACAGAAAAAGGGTCTGGATCTGTCACATAGGATGCCAGTGTGTGTGTGTGTGTGTGTGTGTGTGTGTGT